GTTTCTAGCTGACTCTCAGGTGTGACAGGTGTGCCAGCAGGAAAGAGTAATAATAACCTGCATCCTGAGGTTTGTCATGCAGGATTAAAGGAGCAAGGCTTTGTTCACACAGCTAGGATTGTATTTTACACTGACCCTGGGTCAGTATAAGTATCATACAGTTTAAACGAAGCACTGAAACTTGCACATATTTATTATAGCTGCACTGAAGCTAATCGAGATATTTGCTGTCAATCTGTGGCTGCGATTAAACACTTTACTGAAAACTTTATTAACTAGTAACTTTATCAGTCATGACAGAAGCTAATATTTCTGTGCTAACATCGTTTAAACAGTAACAGCTTTCCTCCAATATAAGCTAACGTTTACAGCGTAACTTTAAGCTAGCACCATAAAGACGGTAAAACACGTAATAATATCTACAAATGCATCTTAAAGCTGTTATATTAGCACTCTGTGTATTACTAACATAACCACATTAACATTACTGACACTCGCTGACTTTCAATAGTCATTCTATAAATGCTGTCTGTTTAAATGGTCTTACCTGTACACACTGCATATCCACCGGATTCCAGCCAGAGTGGATTCTGGAGTCTTCCACGCTCCTGTTAGTGATCCTCCATCTGGATGGATGAGAACAATCTAGCAGGAGATGGCCCATATCTATGGGACTGATTTGTGCTAATAATGCCCATTGTATGGACTGATAACAGCCGTAGCAAGTGAATAAAGTCACCCAGTCGCTACTGTGCCATTACCCAGCATACATCACTCCCTCCATAAATGCAATAAACGATACAAAAGTAATAGCCTATAATTAATGTATCTGCTGTTTCTCAGGTAGTTGTTTACATTATATAATTTATTGTGTTCTGTATACGTCACTACAATGTGATTTTGGAAATGTATAAATATACGGAACACAGGCTCTTCCGCGGCAATCTCTTGTCGTCAATAAGCAACGTTTAGGGCGCTCTATAGTATTCAATGAGAGGACCCTGAACGTCAATTCTCAACGCGAGGGGGGTACCCTGCGCGTCGATAAGTGAAGCAGAGGGAGCCTGACCATGCGTCACACGTTTGACGAGTTGGGAGTGAGAACGTGTTGTTTAGACCGTCCCATTTCACAAGCCTCTCACTTCAGGCCTTAGCAGTCTTTGAGTATGCGGCCCTTGTGGACCGTTAAGGCTGCAGACCGTGAACTGGATACAACCACTGTGCAATTGCCAGTACTAAAATGGCCTCATGCCTCCTCCTACTCATGTGTCCCTAAAGGAAAGCAACCCAGAAAAAAAATCACTTGACCACACTATCCAAGCTAACCAGTAAGAGATGCTAAAGTGCTAAATGTGCAGATAACATTACATGATCATTTCTGGAGCAGCCTTCAGGTTCTCCATAGTAACATGCCATTTTTGCTCCTCGTAAAAATGTTTTACTCCTGGATTAAAATATTTCTGTTGGATTTAATTCAGAGTCAGCTTTTAAAATAAGAACAGCACATTTTTACATCAGGGGATAACAACGAGTGAAAAATTGATTTCAAAATATACTAACAGCTCTCCAAGTAAGACTTAAGCTTCATGCCTGGACGTTTTCATTTAACTGTAATCTCAACAAAACCGATTTGTTCTGGAACAAGTAAAACACTGAAATAAACAAGACATATTTTGCAAATATGTGATGTCTTGATAAATCAAGCAGATATTTGAAATTTACACATCTACAGTCTCACCTGAAAATATGTTTATTTTGTGTTGCAGAAGCAGTAATATTTCAAACTTTACTCATAGTATTAGCCGCTATCCTCCACCAATGGTGCATTTGAGTTTTGGACAAAATGCAATCTGGGATAGTTGGTTGCACAGAAGTCACAGATCACCCACTTTGCTGGGAGATGTTTTGCAATGTTTCTAGGATTAACACTCTCTTGACACAATGTGCAACAGGTTTTTTTTCCCTTTCCTTTGGTGGATGCCAAAAACGATGTGCAGATACGCCGACTGTAAAAGGAAGTGCACTTTGCTGGAATTTACTCCTACAATGGATATTGGGCATGACACTATAAAGAAAGAAGAAACTCTTGTTTCTATGATAATGCAGGAAAGCCAAAAAAAAAGAAAAGAAAAAAGTGTTAAAAGACCAGTATGACCCAGTTCATCACCTGCTATGTTGCCCTGCTGAATGCCAGTTACGAATCTTCATACAAAATACTTTGCTTTTGTAATGTCATCCCCAAGAGGTCTACTCTTACTTTGGAAGAAAAACAGAATTAAAATAATGTTTTATCTTTAGTCATTATTTATTTATTACTACAGAAGGAAACATGTAGCATGTTTGTCCACATGGTCTCACTTTAACATTATAGAATGCATAGGACTAATAGGAAATCCAGTTCCTGTTTGCTGTTACAGTGAACCAGAAAACAAAAAAAGGCCTGCTAATACTGGAAGCTGATGACACAAAATCTGGTGGGTGCAGCAACTCTTTGCATCGGCTCAGCATCATTTACAGAGTAAGGGCACACACGGATGGACGTTGAGAGGAACACTGTACATCATTCCATTTGCCTTCTTCTGTGACCAGAAAAAACACAGGAGACAGTTAGATCAACTGTAGACCTGAAACTGGCAATTACTTTCTTTGTTTTAAAGAAAGTAATGCAAATGTAATAAATGTTGATTTTAGTATTATTAATAAACAGATAATCGTAAAGTCTATAAACTCAACATAGTCAAGAGGTCCAGTTCATTATCTCTGTATAGTAGAAGTGAAACCTAGCGGCTACAGCCCCTAGGTTGGCATCCACCTAGCGTCACTATTCAACCTTTTACTTGTACTAATATATATGGAATTAACCTGCTGTCGTTATCAATATCATCTGAGTTTTAGCTTTACTTGATGTTTTGAAGTCTCTCAAGTGCTATGGAATCTGAGAGACTGTGGAATGCACTAGTAAAGTCCCCTTTAGGATTTAAACAGCTAGTTATCATTTATGACTTGCCACATTAAAATGTTTATTCAGACAGCTCAGACATTTCAGTAAATAATGTTTTAGGGAATTACCTTCTCCATGATTTATCTCTATACAAGCCTCGTTACTTCCCCAATTGTCTGGTAGCCCTGGATGCCATGCTGAAAATAAAAAATGACTGCCATCGCTCCAGAGCCAGAGATCATTCTAAAGATGAAATAAAACAGAGATTTAAAAGTTCAAAGTGTCCTTCTCTCATTAAGATCAGCTTTTATTTGGATAAATTACCATCTGGCAATCAGTGCCTCCAATCCATGTTCGTGTGGCATTCAATGATGCAGCTCTTATCAACTTCTGAATGTTTTGATTATCTTCAGCATTTTTTACCGATGCGAGGTTTGCTTTCATGGCCTGACAGTTTTTCTACAGTGGAGATGAACAAAAAGACACACAGAAACTCAAAAGGAGATGGTTGCTGGAGAAAAACGTGGCTACTTGAAATAAATATCTGGACCAAAGGGACTTATTTGACTAAAGAAGTTGAATTAGTACTTTAGCTTTTATCAGAATGTTTTTTAGCAAAAGAAAAAAGCATAGCAAACAAAGCTACAGAGAACTCATAGCTAAGTGAAAGTAGAAGGCTCTGCCTCCATGTTAGTAATATGGATAAAATGGTGCTAAGAAGTTTTGAGATGTAACGTGTCCTCTTTCTAGGTCTTGCGAGTAGAATGATTTTAAAATCAATTCTTGATTTAAAAGGGGACCAACGAAAATAAACTAATATGGGAGAAATGTGGTGTCTCTTTCTAGTTCATGTTAGTTCTACTGCTGCAGTGTTTTGGATCAACTGAAGATTTTTCAGGAGTTTTCAGAATAGCCTCTTCTAAACCCAAGAAGTAAAAAAAATAAAAAATAAAATCATGGACTAGCTATTCAACATCACTCTGAGATGAGGGTGTTGCAGTGTGGTGGCACCTTCGTTTACAGGCTTGCTGCATTATATATTTATACCTTTTAAATTTGTTCAGGGATTCTATCATTTTAGCTAAATCATAGCATTGAGATATTTTATAAAATTGTAATATATTTCTCATTTCAGTCTTTGTTGCCGCTCTTCATTTATATTACTTTGAAACTATCGTCACATCTTAATGATCAAAGAGTTTTCTACAGACAAGAAGCTACCCCACAGCTCTACCTATCTATAAAACCTTCTTACTGAATGCTATTGATGTGTTTTGTTCTTTAATAAAATTAATCATAATACATGTAACTGATTTTTAGAATACCATTTAATCCCCTTTTTAAAAAATATGAAGTCCAGAGTATGTTACTGAAATTGTCATTAATACATCTTCAATCTTTGTTATATCACAATTTAAAGAGAGGGAAATGTAAAAATATGCAGAAGTAATTTCTACTTGAAATTACTTCTGCATATTTGTCAGATGGAATAATCTGACAAGCAAATTCTACACTAAATATGCCTGTTTAGAAAACAGTTTTCAGTGCAGAGCTGCGTTCATGAAAATACCAACATCAGGATATGACTCTATTTATCTTGGGGTAACTGGGGTAAGCAAACTAACTGTTGGCTTAAAGCGGCAATTTTGTGTCCAAAGACTAAGCAGTGTCAACATTTTTGAGTGAATCACAATCCTCTGTCTTACCTCAGCCTCAGCCCAGGTCATCTGTACTGAAACGTAATGGAAACAGCGACCTCCAAACTCACTCCAATTATCAGGGCAAGTAGCTGCAGATGGGTGAAAAATTAGTGAAAACAAGCAGAGAATTGTGAGTAATTGTATGATATTGTGTCATCATGATAAGGCTCCCTCTTTGCTTTTCTCTGCATATTTACTTTGACTCTGTTCACATGAAGTGTTTTACTCTTTCAATTATTTTTTTTTCCTGACGAGAGCACAGCCAATTTGTGAGGATTTAATCCTATGTCAAGAGTTTAGCACATTAGCTTAAACACCTGTACTCACCATCAGCTCTGGCCAGAGCAATTAAGGCACAAACAAGCAGAGACACAGTCAACATCTTTTTGAGGACGACGGAGACAAAGAATATGATCAGTGAGCTTAAAAAGAACAAATACAGAAAAGTTATTAATGATCATGGAGGGAGTTAAAGTGTGAAGGAGAAAATTGGGGCAAAGAGTCACAGTAAACCTGCAGAAGAAGGATTCACTCGGTGGCTCTCCTGTGTGAATCTGTTGGACCAGAGAAAAAAAGGATCTTATATACACTAACTTATCTCCATATCTGTGTTTAGATAAGTCTTCTCATCTGTGTATGACCCTTTTTTTTTTATCAGTTTATTGGTCAACAAATCAAAGGGCAGCACATCCCACACTGTTGGTTTTTCAAAAGTAAACATGTGAATCACAGAAACTCAAGGTCTCCCTTCTATGTTTACTCAATTCACATCTTGTTTAATCCCAAATTTGATAATGACACACAGAATATGCTCAGAAACATAAACAATAAGAAATCATTATTTTTTAATTAGGATATAGATTATCTGCATATTTTAATATGACTTGTGGAGGCTTACTGCAGATTCTTTTTGCTATATAAAACAAATAGCGGTGGATGGAGCAG